AAAATATTGAGTTCATCATTGTCAGCCATACTGAAGTCTGTATCTGATTGCGAGGAATGTCTTCGGATGAAGTTATGTAGTGCCATTGTTGCAACCACAATGTACACCTGCTTTTGGAAAGGTTACGGCGGCATATCACGTAAGATGACCCACTTCTTCTTCCAAACTCCAAATGTTCTTTCAATTACCCTGCGTAAAGATGAGTGACGTTTATTAAACATTTCCTTTCTGCCATGAACGGTGCCACTAGCTCGCTCAAATTTAGGAAGATGATATCTCGTGTGAGAGTAGGGCTTCAGGTATCCCCTTTGCATAGGATATCCTGCATCAACCAGATAATATTTTCCTGGTACGAGAAACAATGTTAATAAAAAATTGCACAATCCCACATATTCAAATTACTAAACAAAACTAACCTGATGGGGGGTGAGGGAAACACTGCGATCTATTCCTCGTGGCAAAGGAGAAAATACGACTGTCGTGTGCACTTTGCGTTGTTGAACCACTACGACCGATGTATGCTACCTTCTCGTGGTTGGGTATTCGGGCATCAACGTGTGTACCGTTAATTGCACCAATACAGTTCTATATAGTAGTTAATTAGAGAGTAATAATATTATTAAAGTATATCATGTATCAAAATAAAAACATTCAAAATTACTTTGAAATATGGCATATATCGAGGATCGTTGGAAATTTGTTCTGGAGTAGTAGCAAATGATGGATCATCTGGTTTAATTATTTGAGTTGCTAAGCTAGCAAGTGCCTGTATCCCTTTTGAAAAGTAACAACTAATTGTTTCAGATGAATGCTGAAATCTTTCCATAACTCCTCAAATTGACTCATTCTGTGCCAGAATGTACAGTGTTATAGCCAACACCTCCCGAGAAAAGGTTCTAGAAGAACACTGGAGGCCGTGATTTAGACATAACTCGTGCAGAAGATCCATAAAAATTGGTCTCATCATTCTGAATATATTTCTAAATCATACTGGATGTCCTGAAAGCATTTCACTAACCCATCTATCTCCAACAAAGGTGGATGTCATGCGGGGAATGCGAGTAGTGCTACGCTGGTAATAATCTAACAACAATATTGCAACGGCTGTAGCAAATGCCATTCTCCTACGACGTTCACGTTGTGGATCCATCCTAAATGATTTACAATATAAACATTAATATTCAACTATCCAACAATTTAAAATGTTAGCAATTGTGCTAATAATAAAAATTCTCATTTGCTACATATAGAAAGATTATACATGTAGAATGACACATATAGAATGACAAACATATATTAAAAATAAAACAACATAAGTAGAAGTTCAATTAGTGCTGATACATAATCAATCCATAAAAAATATCATTCATCGAACAAAACCCGCAAATATTCAAGTCGCATTTCAGGCTCAAGCGCCATGAATATTTTCATTCTAGTTGAATCCTCAAGTTTTTTTACACATTGTGCGTGAAATCGCCTATCTGCAAGAACTTCAGGAATAGTACTCAAAAGCCCCAGACAGTCTAATATGCTTGCATCAGAGATAGGTGGAGCTGCAAATGCTTCAATCAAACGATCGAAGGAGGTGTTCAAAACATGTTCTTTCTCTTTATTTTTCTTTGCAACCTTGGGCCTCTTTACTGTGCTAGAGTCCCCCGTCTCTCTCTGATTAATGCTACGCACATCTTCATCAGGTGTCAATGGTTCAGGGGTAAATTCATCTGGCATCCCTGAAAAGGTACTTTGACTTGGGTTGAAAGTAAATTTTTTTTCCGGTAGCGACAATACATTTAAACATTTTGTCCAGTTTTTCTTCAAATTCAGGCTCAATCTTGCATTTTTTATACTTTTTAACTGCAGGTACCGCCTGTGATATAACATTTTAAAGTGAATATTTAAGCAAGTAAAATTATAAAAACTAATTTGGAAAGCAAACAAATCACGGAGTAGATATAAAATTACCTCCAATTTTTCAGTCCTCCATTCAGCGTTAGCATCAATTGTCCGTTTAATCGGATCCCAACCCAAACCTGTAGATCCACGTTTCAACTCCTTCCATATTTTCCATTCCTTCTTTAATTGGTCCCATTTATTTTTGAATTTATGCTTGTCATAATCTCTGCCAGTTAGTTCTTTGAACCTCATACCAATATTATTCCAGCCCTCCTTATTAAAGTACATTGTAGGCCTGTTCCCTCGCTCAATTTCTTTTAAACATAGATCACAAAATATATTGGTGACTTCTTTATCCCACATTGCAGAGGGACCCCCTTCAGATGTCTTACCCATTGTGGAACTATATGAATAATTGCAAGTATCACATAATAATCAAATTATCTCAATTACCCAACAATTGTGCAAATAAATGCTAAAAAAGTGCTAAGAATAAAAAAAGTACACATGTTTTTATGTGGTTCGGTCAAAGACCTACATCCACAGTGAGGCATCGAATATGTTTTATTATCAAATTTTTAATCGTACAAAGCTATAGTTCTCACTAGAGAGGACTACAAATATAAAATACATGTGCAATATACAAATTCTAATACATGTCCTTCAATTCAATTCCAACAAAGCTAGGATTATCCGTAATCCTATAATGTATCAACTTATGACATCACCAAAATATTCATGCATTGATGTATGTAGCAGCCATTACAAATTGTAAAATGAGAAGGCCGTATATGCCAAAAGTCTAAAGTGAGCAAATGTTGAGCCATAGAATATGTAATAGGGCAATAAATAAAATACAAATACAGCCCAACATAAGGATGTGAGCCAATCATGCAATCACATGTTGAGTTGAGTTGAGTATATATTGGACGGTAGAATGCTTTACAATGCACAGGCTCTGACCCCTGCTTCTTTCAAAGCCAAGATAGGAGAGTCAAGTGTAACTAGCATTACCTTTACAGTAAAGAAAAATATCTTTACTGCAGCAAGTAAAAAAGAAAAACTTTTGTGCATACTGCAACAATTTTAGCATGGAAGTGTGCAGGGAAGTATTTGGAATTTTTGAAAATCAATTTTGCTACCCAACATGAACTCCATATCCATTTTTTTTATGCAATAAGTGAACTAGAAATCCATTCTTCTCCCCACCAAAAACAGCAAATTCAGCCCACCATAAAGGTGTGAGCCATT